GAAGAAGCCCAGAAGCACAGACCCAGAGAAGAAGGAGAAGGACAAGGCCCGCAGCACCAGCAGCCCGCCAGAGGAAGTGAAGAAGCCCGGAAGCACAGACCCAGCGAAGAAGAAGAAGGAGAAGGCCCGCAGCGCCAGCAGCCCGCCAGACAAAGCCCGCAGCAGCCCAGAGTCAGACGAGGCAAAGAAGGCAAAAAAGAAGGAGAAGGCTCGCAGCGCCAGCAGCCCGCCAGAGAAAGCCGAGAAGCCCAAAAGCGCAGATGCAAAAACCAAGACGAAAGAAAAGGACAACAGCAGCAGCCCAGGTTCAGACCCAGTCAAGAAGGCCAAGGAGAACGAGAAGGCTCGCAGCACCAGCAGCCCGCCAGAGGAGGTGAAGAAGCCCAGAAGCACAGACCCAGCCAAGAAGGAGAAGGAGAAGGCCCGCAGCACCAGCAGCCCGCCAGAGAAAGCCCGCAGCAGCAGCCCAGACTCAGACCAGGCAAAAAAGGCAAAGAAGAAGGAGGAGATGGAGAAGGCCCGCAGCAGCAGCCCAGAGAAGGCTCTTAAGAGGAAATCGCAGGAGACAGCAGCAGCAGCAGAAACAAAGAAGCCCAAGAAGACTGCACAGGAGCCGGGTGATGCAGTAGCAAAGAAGGAGAAGAAGGAAGACACTGACAAGAAGGTTGGAAGGACAAGCAAGGAGAAGAAGCATGAAAAAAAAACAAAAAGGAGAAGGATGATAAAAATGATAAGAAGGAGAAGAGTGAGAAGACGCAGGGTGCTGAGGACTGGACATGCATGGTGGAATTATGCTGGCTCGGGATGCATACACAAATATTGCACAGGCTGATTCTACTCATGCTGTACTACATGTGTATATATATATATATGTGTGTGTGTGTGTGGTATTCAAAACATTATTAATCTATCTACTGCATATACTATTAAATTCGATCGAAGTACCAATTTAAATTGTATAGCTTGGGCATGGCTTGCTTAGTTTGTGGGGTTCCTAGAGCTGTGATATCCTTCCCGCATCTCCCTCTCTCCCTGGCTTCTCCCTGAACTAATATATATATATATATACACATATACATACTTATATGCATATATATATATATATATATATATATACGTACACATATATACATACATATATATATATATATATATATATCCCTTTGCTTCTCCTTATTCGCTCCTGCCCTGGACCCGAGGAGTCTGAAAGCCCGAAGACTTCGACGACTGAAGCTGGCTCGGATAGCCCCCCGTCAGCATTGCGAGCCAGGTGCCTGACCTTCAGCAGCGACGATGGTCACGACGAGACGCCGCCTCCTGCAAAGCAGCAGCGCTTCAACACCATGCCGAGCATCTCACTCGAGACTCCGACTTCTGACAACAGCCCCGAGGCCCAAAACAAGATGGGATCGTACTTCGCTAGGAACCCAGACCCTAATGAATCAAGCTCCCTGAAGGCACCGGCTGGGAAAACCAAGCGGATCACTGAGCTGACAGCAGAAGAAAAGCAGGCCATCAGTAAGATGACGTCCCCACAGGCCAGCACGTGTGTGTACCATCATAATTACAAGAAGCCGCCGCAGAAGATCCACAATATGTCCAGGACATTCCTCGCGATGAAAGGAAGAGGCAGTATGCTGCCCTGAGACGGGCCATCCTCAAGAATGCCAACCCTGCCCTCTCCGCCAAGTTTTCATTGTGTGATGATGAATCGAGGCTCGGATCCTTTCACTTTCTGACATCTTATATGCAATGCACACATGTCAGAGTCAGTAATAGATGGCCTGCAACCTGTCCCTGCAGATTTGGGATGCTCAAGTCGTTCTTGGTGAATCAAGGGGTGGGCTCCATCGAAGTGGAGGAAAAGTACAGCAGATGGGTAACCGAGCTGCGGACTGACCGCTACGTGACGGTACACAGCTGAGTGTACATGCATGTTGTCGGTGAACATATAATAGAAACTGCCCTCTTCTGAGCATGTCCCTGGCATGTGCAAGCTGCTGCAGGTTACAATTTTCCAATTGGAGAAGATCTATGGCAAAGGTGCAGAGGCCAAGGCTTTCATTGAAGCCCTGATCAAGGGACGCTGGGCTGCACTACTGCCAACTTCTCGGGCCTATGTGTAGACTTGACTCAGTGGACCTAAGGGCAGGTGGGAACCCCGCACCCGCAGGTGGGCTATGTGTGCTGCTGATGCACCGATCATTTAGGAACTTGAAAGCTTCATTCAGCTAGACTGCATCAGGTGCCAGACAGCCCCAAGGCTAAGATGTACAAGGTCTTGAGGGAAGTGGTGCAAGAGCACACGACTGGTTCCAAGGGTGAGTCCACAGCTGCTCATCTGCAACCACACTTGCCCAGTCCTGGCATTGTACCTTCGATGTTCTTTTGCACGATGTTTTTGTCCTGCGGTTGGGAAGAATTCTCTGATCAGGGACTGATACTATAGCTGCAACTAAGTTGAAGCTTGGAGGGCGAGTGAACGAAGCTTCGGCGAAAAAAATCCTCGCAAAGCAACTCGGTGAGTTTGCCAACAACTTGGAAAGCGCTGGCTTCCTGGATCTTAAGACCGGGCGAATCTCTGGAAAGACACTTTGCAGACGATCGTCATTCTCACCTGTGCAAGTGAATGACCCAGTGCTGCTCAGTCACTATACCACATTTAAGGAAAGCCAAGAAGCCCCTGACCGCGGAGAAGCAAGCCGAGAAGGATCTGAAGAGTGTTACCACAAAGTGCCCCGGCTGCAAGCTAGGTGTTCGATTCTCGAGTATTGCGGAAACCCATATCGCTTAGTTCTATTTTTGCCACGGAAGGATGCAGATGTTCTATATACCATATTAATTAGAAAAGAATATATAACTATAACCTATATATATATATATATATTCTATATAATAGGGAACATATATATATATATAGAGAGAGATCGAGAGAGGGTTTTTCATTGTTTTTAGGGCCTTAGGGAGTGTTAAGTTGGTCACATATGAAAATTAATATCTCAACGTTTCCCGATCACCAGGAGCGATCCTGCCAAAAATTCGAAACCCCCAGCATTCCTTTGAGAGCCCTGTTTATCCTGGAAGGCTAGGAATCGCACGCCCTCTGAGCTGCAAGGCTGACAAGCTTGACGAAGCTAATTCCACAGAAGCTCCTGGAGATGAGTGGCTTGAAGGTCCGCAACAGCTGCGAGCTGGCTTCGGCCTTAGAAGAGTGGCCGGGTATTTTTGCAAAATCATGCACTCGGGAGTCCCACCCAATGCTTCATCGAGGTGAGATCATTGGAAAGCCTCGAACCCAGGGTGGAATCCACTCTGAAGTTGTGCCAGGAAAAACAGCAGGAGAAGATCCTGGATGCTGAAGCACTGACAGAGTGGATCAATGCCAACACATCTGAGGTTATCCACGATGCCGATCATGATGTTAAGGATGCACAGCGACGCATCAACTCGGTGAAAGCCAAAGAGAAGAAGGCTGAGACTGAGGTCAAGGCTCAACCAGACGACGACAACAGCGACGAGGATGAGGAGTGCAGCGCCGTGGAGGATTGACGAAGCCAATCCTGCTTAATCTTCGGTCGTGAACCACTGCTGCCAGCTGTTTGTGGGCATTTTAGTGAGCTGTGTGGGGATGTGTATGGGAAAAAACTCGACAGATCTCCGTATTGCTAGACCTACTGACCAAGATCCCCATAGCAGCCAATGATGCCGTTCCAACAGTGTGGCTTTTAGCTACCGAGCCTACAAGTGTTCGGAAGGGATCTAGCAAGGCGGTCTTGATGGTTCATGAAAGGCAAAATCACCCGTACGTCTATTTATATATATATATATATAGATATAGATCTAGATATAGATCTATATAGGGGTCTTAATGTAGGAGGGTCTCATATATTTGGTGTTCTAGGTATGCATTGTGCTATGGCATCCTGACGACGAAACATCGACCTGCAAGGCCGGCTTTGCATTAATTTCGGAAGGGCACGGCAGTGTGAACATTGCCACCCTGCCATGTCAAGACAAGCTGAAACGAGTGCTGAAACGAGTTGCACCGCAGACAACTTGTTGCTACTAATACTCGCTTAGATGATGCAGCTTTTCTGTCGACAGAGCATGCTACGTGCCCTGGCCGCAATGTTTCCTGCTGTGTGCAGGTCTGTATAGTTTGTGGGTTGTCAAAAAAGCAATCTACAGTTCTAAATGATAACCAAACCGCCTCACGCCGACCCCGTGACCTTAAGCCCGAAACACCCTATCCTTTGCATTAAATCCAAGCACTGTCCCTGCAAGGCTGTCGGTTTGCTGTCGCTTTGCTATATCCCATAAACCCTTAAACCCCCGGCCCTACGTACAAACTTCGACGCCCCGAGCCAACCGTAAACCCCAAGCCGCAACCCCAGTCCTAAACCCTCTAAATCGGAGTAGGAGTTCGGGGAAACAACTATAAAGCTGCTATCACCGGGCCTTCGCAATTCGGGGGAAATACCTCGCTCGATGGCATGGATGTGGTGGAAGAGTTCCTCGAATTGGGCAAAGATGTGATATGTCCGCGCATTATCATGTACTGCTCGTTTCGCACATGCACATGCAGGCATAGCTGCGGGTACGTAAGGAAGGAACAGCTAAGGTCAGTGTTACTACCATTGTGGCTATGCTTCAAGTTATCCATCGACGGTTCCCTCGTTCACTGCTCCCGTGCAATGCAGCAATTCATGGAGAGATGTGAGGTTCATATGGATGTTGCACGACTGCATGCAGAAGCTATTATAAGGAAAAACTTATGTGACCTGGCCGATCGGCTGGAAGCCTCGAACAAGCATGTGGCCCGCACCTTCTGGAGATGGCTGTCGAGACAGTCGTGGCGGCAAATGCTGCCTGATCCATGGGAGCTGCTTGTCTCAGTCGTTCATTTTGTTGGTGTGAAGTTCCTTCTTTTGCCGTGTGCTTCGTCCTGAAACCTGAGGGTTCAAGTGGTACTGGTGGCATGCTCAGTATGTGCAGCCTGACACGTGCTAGGGCCTCCACTGGGGGAATCCTGGTATGTCAAACTGACAAGCCAAGGTCGATCCGAAGAGAGAGGTCCAGCACTACTTGGGTCAGTGGCACATGTTCTTGCCGAGTGAAGCGATCCCCAGTTGCATACAGCTTATTATATAAGGCTAGCCGTAGGATTGGGGCCTGCTTCTTAGCACGCAAAGATCGAGGTTCGCCTGCTTCTACTCCTACAACAAAGAGCTCTTTCACAAATTACTTCTCGGTGAAGACGGTGCTGCTTGGTCCCTATAAATGCGCACATATTGACCTTATGTATTATATGTCCCGCAAACTCAGGCACTTTCAGATTTCTGGGGCCGCAACAAGAACAGCGAGTGGTTCCGAGAGCACCCTTGCCTGGCTGCAACAAGACTGCAATACGATCCATGTATTCTATATTTGCTTGTGCATGTTTTTGCTCACAGATGTTAGGACGCGGACCTTGCTCGCACAATCCCCTTGATTATACACGGAGATGACGCAGAATGTCACCGCAGGCGATCCTTTATGGTTGTCACTTGGGGTAGTGCCCTAGTGCATGCTACGCCATGGGATTCCAAGTTCGTTGCCTATGTGGGAGACAACAATCAGCTGGGAGATGAAGCGTACAAGGTCCTCGATGCTTGGGTTGCATGGTCTCTCCTGGAGTTAATGCTTGGGCACTGGCTGGATGTGGACCCTTG